CTCTGTAGTATTTTGATCATTTGCTAATAATCAATCAGATCGATGGATTCCAGAGAAGAGGAAACTTTGAAGGCCTTTTTCTCAAAATGATGACTCTGTGACAGTCATTATATAATGTGACATATTTCGCTTAATATTTGAAGTACAAAAACAATCCTGATATCATTAGAAAGCTAGGAATCTCCTCTTTCCAACAGTGTATACAACTCAAAAGGTGTCTTCGGGTCAATGCGACTGATTTCGATAGAAAAGGTCACAACATTTTGACAGGGGCTAGTCTAGGATTTGCGTTAAATAAATTTAAAAAATCATAATGCGTCTCTGGTATTGTTCAGGGGGCCGGGCCAAATGTTGAGGCGGGCCGTACCCGGCCCGCGGGCCGTACCCGGCCCGCGGGCCTTAGTTTGGGGACCACTGGCCTACACCATCATTTCCTGAATAGATGACGCCATAGCCCCGCCTCTCCCCACCTCTCCTGCTCACCCCGCGTCAGTGCTGATGCGTTTCGCCAACAACAACAACAACAACAATGGCGGATCACAGGGCTGCGTTCGTGCTCCAGACGCGACCGACCATGATACAGATGTTAGTGCAACATCTACAGCTCCTCGACCACAACCATCAGCAACAAGTGGACCTGGAGAACTACATGAACTACATGTTGCTAAATCCACCGCGGAGAATAACCAGAAGGGCAACCAGGCAACCATGGCAACCATGTTCGGGGGTCTTCTTCGCTGCTTTTGGTGTATTTTGTGGCAGAAGTACAGCGCCACTTACAGGCCAGACATATGTACTACAGCGTCTCCAGCGGGTCGAGCGCTCTCATTTGGATGGACACGTTTCCGTGTGGACGGGAGAATTTTTTGAAATGGACTTCGGTTCGAAATTGGTTTCGTCTCCGTGTGGCAACGTGGCCTTAGTTTGGCAAATGGCTAAACTAATAAATAAAGTGTGGCTCCTCCAGACTTCTAACATTTAAGTTAGTTTGAATTAAAATGTTAAATAAAACATATCTTTTCAAACTTAATCGGCTTGGTGTTAGAAATCTGTGTTGCGGGTCCTAACGTGCCGTAACAGTGTGCAGCTCGATTTTGACAGGAAAGCAACTGGTGACTTCTAGAATTGTGTGAGTAACATTGTGTCTTTAGACTTCTCTGTTTCAGTGTGTGTACTCTGTATCAATGCTCTGTAGTTGATCTGACTGGAATTGTGATTTTAAATCTCAAAACCACTACAGTATCTGTCAGGCAGAAACTTGGGAAAAGTCATTTGACTGAAACCTTAAAAGTGAACTAACTGACTGCTAGGGTTAACTTTGATTTAAACATTTGTAGAATACTAAGAGCTTTATTGAGTAGGTGTAACTGTATTAAGGGTTAAACTCAGAACTTTATAACTTAGGGTTTAATGTAATTGACTTAAAAGACAATAACAACTCAGGAGGAAGCCAGTCTAGATTTCCTTTTGAGGGCCACCAGCTGCAGAGAGTTAACTAATTAAAGGGGCGTGGCCCCACAGCTGTGAGAACTCAGCAATCAGGTGTCCATTTTAGGTAGCACTTTCCTGGAGCGTCAGACAGACGAAGACTGACAAAGACATTAGAGTCCTGCGGGAGTAAGACTGGCAAAGACATTGGAGTCCTGCGGGAGTCACGAGGGAGGCAAAGAGGAGGCAAATCCTACTCTGATTGAGCTAAGTATCGCTGGTGTTTTATTTTATTTGGTTGTTTAGCCCCTCAGGCTATAATCATGTGTATTTTCTCTATTCCTGTTCATGTGTCTTCTCTCAATTATCACTGGCCCTGTGTATCTCCGAATCGATATAACCGGCCTGCTCTCATCTATCCCACGTGCTCCACTGAGATCCAACATCTAGTTTCAGGTGGCCTGTGGAACTGCCAGTCAGCTGTTCCTAAGGCTGACTTCATCTCTGGCTACGCCTCCCTGCAGTCTCTGGATTTCCTTGCTCTCACTGAGACCTGGATTACTCCATCCAACACATCCACCCCAGCAGCTCTCTCCACAGCATATTCCTTCTCCCATACACCCAGACCCACTGGCAGAGGAGGTGGCACTGGTCTCCTGCTCTCTCCCAAATGGAGCTTTTCCCTCTTCAAGCTTCCTAACTTCACTCCTTCCACCTTTGAATTCCATGCCGTCACAGTAACCCATCCTATACAGTTAACCATTGTTGTTCTCTACCGTCCACCAGGCGCCTTGGGGGACTTCTTGGAGGAATTAGATCATCTCCTCTCACTCATCCCTGAAACTGGCCCTCCCGCTGTACTTCTCGGAGACTTCAACCTCCAGACGGGGAAGATAGACGAACTAACATCTCTGTTAACCGCCTTTGCTTTCTCACTGTCTCCGTCCCCACCGACTCATAAAGCTGGCAATGTCCTTGATCTCATATTCTCAAGAAACTGCGCTACTTCTAACCTCTCTGTAAACCCGCTCCACACATCCGATCACTTCTTCATTTCATTCTCTCTACCCCTTTCCAAACATAACAAACTAATCTCTTCTCATCCTGCACTTGTCCGCCGTAACCTTCGCTCCCTCTCCCCCTCTACCTTTGCCTCATCAGCCCTCCCTTCCTCTGACTCATTCCAACTCCTGCCTCCAAACTCTGCTGCAGAAACTCTCCTCTCTACTCTCTCATCCTCTCTGGACTCGCTCTGTCCTCTCACATCTCGGCAGGCTCGTCAGTCCCCTCCTGCTCCCTGGCTAAATGATGCACTGCGTGCTAATAGAACTGTCCTTAGGGCAGCAGAGCGGAAATGGTGGAAATCCAAACACCGTGACGACCTCCTAACCTATCAGGCTCTCCTCTCCTCTTTCTCTGCTTCGATCTCTCAGGCAAAAAGCACTTTCTTTCAAGATAAGATCCAATCTTCCTATTCCAATCCCAACAAACTATTTTCCATCTTCTCCTCCCTCCTGGACCCTCCAAAGCCCCTCCCCCCTCCTCCCTCCTGGACCCCCCCAAAGCCCCTCCCCCCTACTCCCTCTTGAACCCCCCCAAAGCCCCTCCCCCCTCCTCCCTCATGGACCCCCCCCAAAGCCCCTCCCCCCTTCTGTCAAGCGACTTCGTTACCCACTTTGAAAAAAAGGTTGATGATATTCGCTCTTCTTTTTCTGACTCACCTCTACTCACCGCTGGGTCACCAGACCCTCCTTCCACCAACACACTTACCTCCTTTTCCCCTCTCTCTCCAAGTGAGGTTCTTACCCTCATTACCTCTGCCCGCCCTACCACCTGTCCTCTGGACCCTATCCCTTCAAACCTCCTTCAGACTATCGCTCCTGATATTCTACCGTTTCTCTCCCATTTCATCAACACTTCTCTAACTTCTGGTCACTTTCCAAACAGTCTCAAGGAGGCAAGAGTAAACCCTCTCCTAAAGAAACCCACTCTCAACCCGTCTGATGTTATAAACTACAGGCCTGTCTCTCTCCTCCCGTTCCTGTCTAAATCACTTGAACGCGCTGTCTTTAAACAACTCTCCTGTTATCTCCATCAGAACAACCTTCTGGATCCGCACCAGTCTGGTTTCAAGGCAGGTCACTCCACAGAAACTGCTCTCATTGCTGTCACGGAGGAACTGCACACTGCCAAAACTGCATCCCTCTCCTCTGTCATCATCCTGTTGGACCTGTCTGCTGCATTCGACACGGTGAATCATCAGATCCTCCTTCGCACTCTCCAAAAACTTGGAGTTTCAGGCTCTGCACTTTCCCTCCTCACCTCATACCTGAAAGACCGTACCTACAGGGTGACTTGGAGAGGGTCTGAGTCCGACCCTTGTCAATTAACTACAGGGGTCCCTCAGGGCTCTGTTCTTGGTCCCCTCCTCTTCTCTCTGTACACAAACTCGCTCGGATCAGTCATTAGCCCGCATGGTTTTTCTTACCACTGCTACGCTGACGACACCCAATTAATTCTGTCCTTCCCCCGCTCAGAGACCCAGGTCGTCGCACGCATCTCTGCTTGTCTAGCTGACATCTCTCAGTGGATGTCTGCTCATCACCTCAAGCTCAACCTTGACAAGACTGAGCTGCTCTTCCTCCCGGGAAAAGATTGTCCCACTCTTGACCTAACAATCAACATCGGCACCTCAGTTGTTTCCCCGACTCAGACTGCAAGGAATCTGGGTGTGACCCTAGATAACAACCTGTCCTTCACTGCAAACATCGCTGCTACAACCCGCTGCTGCAGATACACGCTTTACAACATCAGGAGGATACGTCCCCAGCTGACACAGAAAGCGACTCAGGTTCTGGTCCAGGCTCTCGTCACCTCACGCCTAGACTACTGCAACTCCCTCCTGGCTGGTCTACCTGCATGTGCCATCCGACCTCTGCAGCTCATCCAGAATGCAGCGGCTCGTCTGGTCTTCAACTTTCCTAAATTCTCCCACACCACGCCGCTCCTCCGCTCCCTTCACTGGCTTCCGGTAACTGCTAGAATCCACTTCAAGACACTGGTACTTGCTTACCATGCTGCGAATGGATCTGGCCCTTCCTACATCCAGGACATGGTTAAACCGTACACCCCAGCACGTGCACTCAGCTCTGCATCAACCAAATGACTCGCTGCACCCTCGCTGCGAGGGGGACCCAAGTTCCCATCAGCAGAAACACGTGGGTTTGCTATCCTGGCTCCAAGATGGTGGAATGAGCTCCCCATTGACATCAGGACAGCAGATAGCTTACACACCTTCCAGACTGAAAACTCATCTCTTTCGACTCCACTTCGAGCGATAGAACTATTAACAAAGCACTTATATACTAATAAAGGACTGGCTTACCTAAAGCCAGTTGAGTAGCACTTGAAATGTTTGGCTCTATGAAACCTGATGTACTTTATGATTCTGTTTTCTTCAAGGTTTTATTTTGTTGGTCGAACGCACTTATTGTAAGTCGCTTTGGATAAAAGCGTCAGCTAAATGTGATGTAATGTAATGTAATATAAATGTAAGATCAAAGGGTCCTCACCTCCCCCTGCAGGCTGCTCCTCTCCTCTCTCCTCTCCTCTCTCGCCTCCTGCAGCTCGGCCTCTTTGCTCGACAGCTTCTCCTGAAGGACCAGCAGTTGCTGCAAGAACAACGTTTAGATCTCTCACTAAATAATGACTTTATCCCAACAGCGTTTTGCCCTCTGGGTTCAGGACTAAACGTGACAGAGTCATTTCAAAGCCACAGCAGGACGAGAGGGCGTACCTGCTGCATGGAGAGCATGTTCTGCTGCAGCAGCTGGATCTGAGCCTCAGCGCTGTGTGTGTGAGGGTGTGTGTGTGCAGGCGTGTGTGTGTGTGCAAGCGTGTGTTCGTTCCTCAGCAGCTCCACCTCGTTCCTGTAGGCGTCAAGCTGCCACCGCAAGGAGTCGTTCTCCTCCTTCATCGAGGGGGGGTCACACACTCCTGCAGGAGGGAGGGGATGTTATTCTTGTTTTAAAGCAATATGGGGACCTATGATAAACTACAGTAGCATCTGTGTGTCGCCAAAACAAGATGCAACGGAGAGACGAGATGTCCTTTCACAAAGTTAATGGTTTTACAAACATGAGATTTACGCTGTGGACTGCTGAAGGATATCAGTACTGTAGATTGAAACAACTTCATATATTAACACATAAAGGTAAACAAATGTAAAATATAACAATATATATATTTTTAAACCAATTATTCACTATTTTCCTGGTGTGACATATTTATATATTTATATTACTCCCTTCTCTTTCATACAGCAGAATGATGCAAAGACATTTTAAGGAATGGGTTGAAATCCCCAGAGATGTAGGAAGAGAGAGGCGAGACACAAACACATGTTCCTGCTCAGAGAGGAGACACATCTCTCTGAGGCCTCGTATAGAAACATTAAAGTGATCACATGATACCGTTGAGGTCGCTGCGCAGCCTCTTGCAGGGACTCTCCTCCGAGTCGTCCTCAGACATCTCCATCTCCTCCTCCCTCCGGATGCCCGTGATCTCCTCGCTGTGAGCGCTCCTCAGCTCCTGCACCCAGACAGTTATATATTAATATATAAACACTGAGACCTCTTCATGCTTTCTTCCAGCAGACACAGCGTCTCAAACCGTCCTCCTGTCTCTACATGAACGTCCTCTCTTCCTGCCTTTACTTTCCCCTTGTCTCTTTGGAGGAACTTTTGCTGTTAAAAAGCGTTGGATTCTTCGTCAGCGGGAAGGCCTTCAGAACCCAGACAGTGTTTCTCCTGAAGCGTGCGGTCCGATGGTTCTCCCACATCTCCGTGTTGATTCTTCCAATTAGGCTTTTTTAAATCCTCAAATTCTGATTCTTTTTTCAAAATCTCAAAATACAGATTTTTTCCCCAATAATTCTTAATACTTTCCCAAATTCTGACTTTTTTGAACCTCCACGTTTGTCTTCTGTCAGTGAGAGTTATTCTAAAGTGTCCTCGTGACCTCTGCAGTCTCATATGTTCTGGTTCTTCTCGTAGCAGAGCATCTACAGCACTCCACAGAGTTACAGATGTTACTGCCATGTGTCCTCCTGCAGTCTCTAACAGAGGACGCTGTAACACCTCCCATCACCTCAGAGCAGCTGCTGTGTGTCCTCTAACAGAGGACGCTGTAACACCTCCCACCACCTCAGAGCAGCTACTCTATGTCATCTAACAGAGGCAGCTGTAACACCTCCCATCACCTCAGAGCAGCTACTCTATGTCCTCTAACAGAGGCAGCTGTAACACCTCCCATCACCTCAGAGCAGCTGCTGTATGTCCTCTGACAGAGGACGCTGTAACACCTCCCATCACCTCAGAGCAGCTACTGTATGTCCTCTAACAGAGGCAGCTGTAACACCTCCCACCACCTCAGAGCAGCTACTGTGTGTCCTCTAACAGAGGCAGCTGTAACACCTCCCACCACCTCAGAGCAGCTACTGTGTGTCCTCTAACAGAGGCAGCTGTAACACCTCCCACCACCTCAGAGCAGCTACTGTATGTCCTCTAACAGAGGCAGCTGTAACACCTCCCACCACCTCAGAGCAGCTACTGTATGTCCTCTAACAGAGGCAGCTGTAACACCTCCCACCACCTCAGAGCAGCTACTGTATGTCCTCTAACAGAGGCAGCTGTAACACCTCCCACCACCTCAGAGCATGCTGTAATGTGTCCTCTAACAGAGGCAGCTGTAACACCTCCCACCACCTCAGAGCATGCTGTAATGTGTCCTCTAACAGAGGCAGCTGTAACACCTCCCACCACATCAGAGCATGCTGTCATGTGTCCTCTAACAGAGGCAGCTGTAACCCCTCCCACCACCTCAGAGCAACTACTGTATGTCCTCTAACAGAGGCAGCTGTAACACCTCCCATCACCTCAGAGCAGCTGCTGTATGTCCTCTAACAGAGGCAGCTGTAACACCTCCCATCACCTCAGAGCATGCTGTCATGTGTCCTCTAACAGAGGCAGCTGTAACACCTCCCATCACCTCAGAGCAGCTACTGTATGTCCTCTAACAGAGGATGCTGTAACCCCTCCCATCACCTCAGAGCAGCTACTGTATGTCCTCTAACAGAGGAAGCTGTAACACCTCCCATCACCTCAGAGCAGCTACTGTATGTCCTCTAACAGAGGACGCTGTAACCCCTCCCATCACCTCAGAGCAGCTACTGTATGTCCTCTAACCAACCTGATCTCACCAGAATGCGTGACTCCACCACGACTCCTTAACACCGCATTGCGTGGTGGAGTCACGCATTCTGCTCCATTTACGTGTCGGCACCACGCAAAAAACCCCAATGTAAAGTGAATGAGGCTCCTTTGTCGTGGTGCACACACGCATTTCTACAACGTCCCGCAGTGGGCTTTTATTCTATAAAACATTTTTAAAATCTACTTTATAGCTTGTAGTAACTCACGGGAGGCTTTTTTATTTTATTTGTATTCATAATCATTTTTATTTTTCGTCAGAATGTAAAAATTACATTAGTTACGAATTGTTGTTCTCAAAAAACAGTGTGTGTAATACAACTGTGATTTTTATTAAATTAGTTAGTTTTTAAGGAAGGCCAGAGCTTCAGCTATGTCAAATAGATTGTTCCCTTTAGTTAACGTTATTTAAAAGATAATGATCATGTCCCCTTTATTGTATTACGAGCGTCCATTCCCATTGGATAACGGAGAATTTTACACCCGGAAGTAAGTATTCTCCTACTGTCGATTGATTTTACAGTGATATCTGAACTACTCATCAACTCAAAAACACCAGATTATCTTTGTTAATTACACAACATTGATTGGTTTAAATTGTGTACAATGCTTTTGTATTTTTGCCGTTCGATTGGGAGAAATTAATATTTTTTCCGGAGTTTTTGGATGGCAGAAGACACTACACTACCCAGAATCCTCAGCTATCGTTTGGGACTACACCATGTGCTTAGCTTGACAAACCCCGTGATCAGTCCTCAAGCTCTGTGATTGGTTGACCTCCAACTGCATTCCATATGAAAAAAACACGTTTCGTAAAAGATAAAATCATACTTTATTCAGCAGTGCTTGCTTTACTCTTTGAAAGTCATCACATTAATGCATTGTAATAAATGGTTTGGCTGCATTAAATATTACACATCTGTCGTAGTTCTTTATTTATCTACAGAGATCGGGCATCACAATAGACCGGAAACTATTCTTTTACCGTTCTGTTTTAATTGCACAATAAAGTTAGTAGTAATAATCTGTTTTGAGATTATTGTTTTTTATTAACTACTAGACCGCTGGGTCAGACTGTTAAAACCATATTTTCTGTGTTGCTGTGGGGTTTTTCCATCGCTTTTGTTACAAATATCAAAACAATAACAAAATATATCCGTCGTAAACTAAACCAGAAACAGCAGTATATTTTATTTTGTTAACACTGTAAACTTGACAGCTTTTTAACCCAAACCACCTACTGGTTAAAGCACGTTATTACACGTTTGGAGTAATTGCAATGCAGGTAGATTATGTTGCTTTTTAATGACTGTTTAAAATGTCTTTTTCTTAATGTCTTTCATTTTTGTAAAGCACTTTTGAATGTGTTATATTTGATGAAAACATTTAAATATTAAGAGTATATACAAAATAGCGGGAAAGTAGAAGGTCAATGATATAAATATAGAATAGATAATATCAAGAAGATACTGTAAGTGATATCTACAATAAAACAGTTTAGTGCCTGATAGGAGGATGTGCAAAACAGACAAACTAATAAGGCTTTATTTAAACATTAAAGAATACTTTAGGCTAAGGTCTTCTTTTAAATAAGAAAAAAGCTTTGGGGGTATCTATCTACAGATACATATTAAGCCTGACAAAGTACTTAACGTCTAATATATTGCATGGTTTGTTTTGGAACTTGACAATCAACTTTCCTGCAATGTTAACTATGTTGAAGCACTTATTTTAACCGATATTATACATATTTATTATACTCTTATAAGATGTATGTAGATAGAATAATACATGTGCAGAATATGACAGTTTATGGAGGTACACACATATTGATAGATGTCTTGTAATGCACTGTTGAGGAACCTGCTGTGACCCAAGTTTTGCATTCATTGCATAACTACACCGTAGTTGTGATATGTCAATAAACCTTTGAAAATCTTGAAAGGGATGTGCAAAATATCAATTATATACAGTCTTTAATTAACGATTAGAGAATAACGAGTAATGCATATGCTTTATACGGATCTTCAGATAAATATTTAGTCTTCTCAATCAAATATCTCTCCTGATTGTTGGCACTTGACAATCACCTTCACTGAATTTTACTCAGGTGTAACTAAAGTCTGATTTAAGGGTTGTTTATATTTCACATCATTAATCCAAATCTGTAAAGTAACTAAAATAAATGTAGTGCAGTAAAAACACCACGTTAACCTTAAAGAAAGCCCTCAGGATTATAAAAGACCCCCATCACCCCAGCCACAAACTGTTCTGTCTGCTGCCGTCTGGCAGGCGGTACCGCAGCATCCGGACTAAAACCACCAGACTCAGGGACAGCTTCATCCCACAGGCCATAAGACTATTAAACACCTGATATTTGAAACAACATCCATAACATTCATCTGGCTGCTACAGAGAAATTATGTATCTAATATATCATATTCACAATGTAGTGACTGCTTTTTTGTCTTTTGTTTTCTTAGTTATGTTCTCTTTTATATGTGTGTGTTATGTGTTATGTGTAACGTTGCTGCCTTCTTGGCCAGGTCAGCATTGAAAATGAGATTGTATCTCAATGCTTCTATCTGGTTAAATAACTTTAACTAATAATAACTAACAAGTGATTGGAATCAAAAAGATTCCAATAACTTGTATATAGACTCTTATTGCACTATTTCTTCTGTGTATCTGTTTTATTGTGTTGCACTATTGGAGGAGCCTGCGACCTAAGAGGGGGTGGGGGGGGGGGGGGGTGGGGGGGGATAGGACACGTTCGATTCCTGTTTTGAATAGTGTGCCGTCGATGGGTTTCATTCCATTTCAAGGTGCTTTTTGACGCTCCGTGTAAAATTCGCGCACTGCCACTCTAACATCCAATCACAGAGCTTGAGGACTGATCACGGGGTTTGTCAAGCTAAGCACATGGTGTAGTCCCAAACGATAGCTGAGGATTCTGGGTAGTGTAGTGTCTTCTGCCATCCAAAAACTCCGAAAAAATATTAATTTCTCCGAATCGAAGGGGAAAAATACAAAAGCATTGTACACATTTTAAACCAATCAATGTTGTGTAATTAACAAGGATAATTTGGTGTTTTTGAGTTGATGAGTAGTTCAGATATCACTGTAAAATCAATCGACAGTAAGGAGAATACTTACTTCCGGGTGTAAAATTCTCCGTTATCCAATGGGAATGGACGCTCGTAATACAATAAAGGGGACATGATCATTATCTTTTAAATAACGTTAACTAAACGGAACAATCTATGGACACAGCTGAAGCTCTGGCCTTCCTTAAAAACTAACTAATTTAATAAAAATCAC